AAATCATAAGCATCCTTCGATTCAGCACCCTTGAAGACTGGAGGTTTCAATTTCAAGAACTTACTGAAAAGTTCATGCTGATCATTTGTCATTATAGGCCCAGTAGTCAGACGTGGAAACGTGCCTATTTCCAATGGAACATCCATGCAGGGAGCCATAGTAGCCGCATGTTGTACCTCCGGAGCCTGAGGTGCTGGTGCAGAGAACACTGGGGGTGTCTGGCCCTGATCAGACAACCCGCTAAGATAAGCCAGAACCTGATTGATCGTCTCTGGGGTAGGTTGGGGTGGCATTTCCTCATTTTGCACTTGTTCAGTTTCCCCATCCTCCCCTTCTCTTATTACCTCCTCAGTCGGTGGAGAAGTCACTACCCTAGTATCAGATGGGCTAGGTGCTCGTCCTCTTCCCCTAGAGGACGTCCTCCCACGACCTCTACCACGGCCTCTTGCCGCTGCTCTTCCTCGAGCTACAGCCCCAGTGGCTGGCTCAGACGCACCCTGTCCCACCGGTGCTGGTGTTGGTGTTGGCGTAGTCGTTTCTCTAGTTCTAACTATCTGCGAGAGAGAGTGAAGATGGTCAGATACCAATTCGTATTGCCTAGATACCAATTGGACTCAAGTAGTAGCACGAAAGAAAGAATGAAAGAGTGAAATTTTTCCTAAAGTCTTATAGCCTCTCAAGGAAAAGTAAAGGCGTCCCCCTACCGTTCCTTAAGACTCTACTTGACCTGTTCTTGTGTGATGAGACCAACAAACCTAATGCTCTGATACCAAGTTTGTCACGACCCAAACCGGGTTGCGACTGACACCCACACTTACCCTCCTATGTGAGCGAACCAACAAATCTAAACCTTAACATTTCAACGTATATCAACAGAAAGTAATGCGGAAGACTTAAACTCATTAATAAAAACCATTCAAAACTATTATTATCATCCCCAAAATCTGGAAGTCATCATCACAAGAACATCTACAATCAAATGACTAAACTAAGAGTATTCTAAAAACTAAAAATACATAAGAAGCTAGTCCATGCCGGAAGTTCAAGGCATCAAGACTTGAAGAAGAAGATCCAGTCCAAGCTAGAAGCATTAGCTCACCCTGAATTTCTGATGTAGTAAGACTGGCTTGAATTACTGTTGAGTTGAAGACGATGGCATGTTTGCTGCACTCCACAAATAAACAAGAAGAAAACATAAAAGTAGGGGTCAGTACAAAACACGGGTACTGAGTAGATATCATCGGCCAACTCAAAATAGGGAACAGTATATATCAAGTATTATCGTAAATCAACTATAAAACTCAACATGTAACAACAACAAGTACTATAATCATCAATAAGTACCATCAAGTTCACACATGAGGACTCAAGCCCCAATACCATACTCATTTGGGAATCATGTTCGTTAGATTGAGTATATTAACATCTTTCAAGATTCATTATCTTTATTTCTGTTGTGTCGGTACGTGACACTCCGCTCCCTCATATTCATTATTCCTCTTGTGTCGGTACGTGACACTCCGATCCCCTAAATCTATGTGTCGGTTCGTGACACCCGATCCCCTAAATCTACGTGTCGGTTCGTGACACCCGATCCCCTAATTCTACGTGTCGGTTCGTGACACCCGATCCCCTAATTCTACGTGTCGGTTCGTGACACCCGATCCCCTAATTCTACGTGTCGGTTCGTGACACCCGATCCCCTAATATCATTCTGTAAATCATCAAGCCTTCTCTATACCAAGGCACCATCAATCCCATTACTTATATTTATCAAGCCTTCTTCTATACCAAGGCATCATCATTAATAACATATATTAAAGTTTCTTTTCAAGATTTGGGATTCAATATTTTCATCATGCTCATCTCATCACAATCACACAATCATATTCATGCAAACATACAATTAAGCATATAGTAGGATTTACAATACTACCAATACATATTATTCTCTATTAAGAGTTTACTATGAAAGTATGAAAACCATAACCTACCTCCACCGAAGAATTGAAATCAAGCAAGTTAATCCTCAAAGCTTGGTGTTTTCCTCCTCTTCTCGATCGTTTCTCTCTCTCCCTTCTTGTTCTTTCTATTTTCTTATTCAAACCCTCTTTCTTTTACCCTAATTAGTATATAATTAAGAATAAAAGATGGCAATAATACCCCACTAATAAACTTAGGGTTACCTCTTTTAACCCCCAAGAATTTGAGTTATTAATATAAACCCACGAAATCTATAATTAAGGAAAGAATAGTCCAAAAACGTCCCTTAAAACGTGTAAGGAAATCCAATTCTGCCTGGGATTTGCGCAACCTATGACGGGCCGTCGTGACAGCGACGGTCCGTCCTGCAGGTCGTCGCAAGGATCAGAGAGTCAATTTCCACTGAACAATCTATGACGGTCCGTCACGCCTGTGACGGTCCGTCCTGCCATTTCGTCACGAAGTTCTGAGAGTCGATTTTCAGTACCCAATTTCAGATTTTCTAAGTGTTTTGAAACGAGACCCTGCGACGGTCCGTCGTGCCCATGACGTTCCGTCGTGGGGTCCGTCGCTTCTGCCAGTTTTTTCCAGAATTGAAGTCTGTTGCTCAAAACGACTAAACGGGTCGTTACAATAGGCCACATAGTCTTCACTAGTATGGCAATCCTATATATTTATCCATCTTATCATATGAATTATTATGTTTTTCAACCTCCAAAGATTTAACCATTTGATTGAAATCACATAAAACTATGGAAACATAACAACCTCAATAGGTCTCACTTCATAGCATACTATTGTTGAAGGGGATATATCTGTAGAAATATTGGCCATTGTAATAAATAGTATATCATATTAGTAGATGTTGTGTTACTTCTTCCTTTTCTGTGTGTTATATCTAAAATCCTTAGACTTTTCTACGTGCAGGGTTACTCAAAAATCTTTTACAATATAGTTAATGCTTAAGTTTGGTCGATCTATAATGCCTATTGAAAATTTGTGATTTTGTATTCATACTAAGCTTGTTAATTTTTTTGTTATGCAAATACCGATACTGATCTCTAGGGCATTTCTTGACTTATTTTTTTATTACAATGGCCAATATTCCTATACCTATATTGAATTTAATATTTTCTTTTATGTACTAGATTCTAACATTTTTACCTTTCTATTTTAGAAATATCTTGTACACATGATATTGAATTTCAGAACAATTTTGTATTGCACTTTTACTTTATGAAGTTTAGAAGGTTTAATATATACTAATAATATTTTAACTTACTTTTGCATATCATTTAGTTTATATTCGCATATCTTTAAGTCGTGATTATTTGATATTATTGTGTTAGGTTCATCAGTTTCACGATAACAATAAGTCTCTAATTGAGTCTCACAAATCAATATGATGACATTTGTATCTATCTTTAAAGGCTATGAGAATTTTAGGAAAATTCAGTTTTTTGATTCTTCATTTTGTGTAATCAATTACCTCTTGAGTTTTATCAACTCCGTTTTTATCCTCTTACATATGGTGAGGATGGGATTAGCTATGATCGGAGATATATATATATATATATATATATATATATATATATATATATATATATTGTCTCCATTTTAAAAAGAATGACTTAATATGACATGAAACGAGTTTAAGAAAAGAAAGAAGACTTTTTAATCTTGTGGTTCTAAATTAAAGTTATATCAAATGTATCAAATCATCATTTAATCTTGTGACCTTAAACATGTCATGTGGAATGTTGAAGTTAAAGTGTTGCCAAAAATAGAATATAGGTCACTCTTTTTAAATAGACTAAAAAGAAAACCAGGTTATTCTTTTTTAAATAGGGAGTAACATATCAAGTATAGAGTAACTAACATAAACCTAGGGAAAAGAGTAAGTGTTATATTTTCAAGTTGACCTTTATCATGGTAAAAACAAAGTAAAAGAAACATCAAGTTTAAATAAAGAAAAATCATCTTTTCCTTTTATGTATACTCGTTTTAGTATGTTGACAGATTTGTTTGAGACACAAATTATCCTATTTTCTAAGAAACATATTCTATACATTATATTATGCTTGTTTCAAAATTTCTGTCCTTACCTTGGTGATATTTAGCTAGGCCTATATATGTCTTTGTCAAAATAAATATTGCTTCTCAACATACTAGATGGAAGAGGCCCATGCCAATAGTCAAATTAATATGAAGCAATTATTTTGCTTGTGAAAATATAATAATATTAATGAATCAAGGGTCACGGCTACTATAAAAGATGGTTGATATCATATACTATTAGAAATATTCAGGATATGTACAACAGGCACCAGTATGCTGTCTACTTGAGTAATCTTAAATACTAACTAATGTTATACACCCAAAAACTATAACAAATGTTTCGGTTTTGACATATGAGATTACTATGGCATTGTTTATTATATGTAAAGGATGTCGGAGTTCTGTTACAATTTGACATTAAGAAGTACCCATCTATAAGCATAAGAGAGAAAGAAGATGAAATTTACTAAGAAGAAAAAAATATTTCATTTTTCTCATTGTGTTGTTGTACATGTGTATATATTACCTAATATTTTGACTAACTTTTGTAACTAACATTCTTCTATATCTAACAAGATAACTCCTCTAACTTTTCTATATTACAACTTAGTCCCTAATATTTGTTAAGTAATACCTTCTTTGATACTCCCCCTCAAGTTTGAGGGTATAAACAAATTTATTACTCCAAACATGGAAAGTAAGTACTCATATTTTGACCTGCCTAGACCTTTAGTAAGTAGATCAGCTATCTGTTCTTTTGTACTTAGATGTCTTGTTTCAATAACTCCTTTTTGTATCTTCTCTCTAATAAAATGGCAGTCCAACTCTATATGTTTGGTTCTTTCATGATTTAGTGGATTTGTTGCTATCTGTATTGTTGATTTGCTATCACTATGGACAATAACTGAAGTTTCAATTTCTTCTCCTAATTCTTTGAACAAACTAACTATCCATACAACCTCTGCTACAAAATTTGCCATACTTCTATACTCAGCTTCTGTTGAGCTTCGAGAGACAGTTCCTTGCTTCTTGGTCTTCCCTGAAATAAGAGAGTTTTCAAGATTTATCAAGACTCCAGGTACTGATCTCCTAGTCTGTGGATATGTAGCCAAATCTAAATCACAATAAACATTTAGATGTTTGCTACTTTTACTGGATAGCAATATTCCCCACCCTGCTTCACCTTTTATATATCTTACCACCTTCAGAGTTTCATTTAAATGTGATTGTTTTGGCTGTTGAAGAAATTGACTCAGAGTCTGTGTTGCATATGCAATATCTGGTCTTGTAACAGTAAGATAAAAGAGTTTGCCAATTAATCTTTTATATATGTTGGGATCTTCTAGTAACTTGTCATCATGTCCTATATTATTAACTTCATCATATTTCTTAGTAGTCAACTTCACAAAAGAATCAAGTGGTGTGGTGGCTGGTTTTGGTGCACTCAATCCAACCTCAGAAATAATCTCAAGAGTATACTTTCTTTAATGAATAACTATACCTTTATTTGACCTGGCAAATTCTATCCCTAGGAAATACTTAAGATCTCCAAGATCTTTCATTTTGAATGTATCTTGTAATGTCTGTTTAGTCTCTTGTATCAGCCTAATGTCATTACCTGTGATCATCATATCATCAACATATACTAAGATTATCACTAAAGTATCCCCAACTCTTTTAGTAAATAAAGAATAATCAAGATGACTCTGTACAAACCCTTACTTTATGAGAGCTTCAGTAAGCTTAACATTCCATTGTCTAGGAGCTTGATTAAGTCCATATAGGGATTTAATGAGCTTATATACATGCTTCTCCCCCTGTCCACTAAATCCTTGTGTCATCTTGAACCCTTGTGGTAATGTCATATACACTTCATCATACAAATCTCCTTGTAGAAAAACATTATACACATCCATTTGATGTACATGCTAGTTACCTGCTGCATCTAGTGCCAAGACACTTCTAATAGTCACCATTTTTACCACAGGAGAAAATGTCTCATGAGACTCTAGTACTTCCCTTTGATTATATTCCTTAGCTACTAGTCTAGCCTTAAACCTCTCAATTGGACCATCAGCTTTGTATTTAATCTTGAAAATCCACCTACATCCAATGACTGTTTTCCCATAAGGCAAAGGCACAACTTTCCTAGTGTTATTGCATTCTAAGTCCTTGATCTCAGCCTGCATGGCATCAACCCACCTAGGATCTTTGCATGCTTCCTCAAAACTAGATGGTTCAATCTCAGCTCCAAATGAAGACATATATAACTGATACTTGGCAGATAAATGATCATATCCAAGGTATTGATCAATTGAATATAATGGCTTGCATACTCAGGGATTTTTTAAACATATGCCACATAGTCTTTCATCCATAGGGGAGTACTACTGATTTATAATGATCTCCTGGTGTTACATTTTGTATAGAAATTGTCTGATCAGAATATGATTCAGAAGTTTCAGATTCTGGTACATTTGATATTCCATCTAGAATTGCTTCTGTAGGAATATTAGTGGTAGGAAATAGTTTTCAGGAAACTGAAGAAGAAAGTGAGAAAGGAAATATAGTTTCCTTGAACACAACATCTCTACTAAGAAAAAAACACTTGTTCTTCATGTCATAAAGAATATATCCTTTAGTTTGCTCACTATACTCCATATGTATTGCCACCACACTTCTTGACTCAAATTTATCACTGATATGCATATTTTTGGCAAAACATAAACACCCTATTACTTTCAAATGATGCAATGAAGGTTTGCTCTTATATAGAGCTTCACATGGTGACTTCCCATTCAGAACTGGAGTAAGTAATCTGTTAATAATATTAGTTGCACATAAGACACAATGACCCCAGAACCTAATAGGTAAATGTCCTTGAAACTTGATAGCTCTTGCAACTTCCAGAATATTCTTATGTTTCCTCTCAACAATACCATTTTGTTGAGGAGTATAAAAATAAGTTCTTTGATGTACTATGCCTAGTGATTTACATAACTGATGACATTCTAGAATTAACAAATTTTGTACCATTATCTTTTCTAATGACCTTAACGGACACACCACATCACTTTTCAACTTTATTAAAAACAACCATACCATTCTTGTACAATCATCTAAAATTGTAACAAAGAATTTATTCCCATCATATGTAGGAAACTGAAAAGGTCCCCAAACATCAATATGTAACAAGTTAAATGGCAATAAGGACACAGAAGTACTATGAGGAAAATGGTATTTTGTGTTGCTTGGCTAATGGACAGATAGTACAATTTTGAATTTCTTGTGTATTATGTTTAACAAATTCAAGAATAACACTTGCTAATACATTTGAAGATGCATGTCCTAACCTTTGATGACACAGGAACACAGAAGAAGTTGTTGTATTAGTGTTATCCTGAACATTGTGTGACTATATTTGAGTATTTAACTCTTTCCTTGATTTTGGAGTAGGGAGAAAATAACTTCCATTAGATTCTTACCAATAACCTTCACCTGTCCATTGTAAAGATCCCGGAATACAAAAAAATCAGGAAAGAAGGAGACTGAACAATTGCGACTTTTTGTGATTTTTGAGAGAGAAAGAAGATTATTTTTAAATTTTGGTATGACTAACACATCTTCAACCCTTTCATGTTCATTAATGTTGCAAGACCATGTATGAGAAACAGTGGTTTTGTCTCCATTAGGCAAATAAACTTGATTATAACTGTTACTAGGCATTGAGTTCTTATCGAATAGCATATCAGACTTATATGTCATATGATTTGTTGCTCCAGAGTCTACAATCCAATCATGTGATCCTACTGAGATTTTAAAACTATTACGTGCAGTATTGGAGCTTTGTATTTGATTAACACTGCTACTTATTGGACCCTGTGTGCAAGTACCCACATCTGATGTACCCTGCAAATTAGTCTTTCCCAGTATTTGCAATATTTGGCTGTATTGTTCATGTATAAACTCCATACTTTTATAATAATCTCCAATTCTTGAGCCTTGATTAGGATGTTCTTGAGTCTTTACAATATTATCCAATACATTATTTGCTGCATTATATGAATTACCACCTCTCTCAGTATAATAATTCCTATTGTCTGAGTAGTTGTTCCCTTGATTCTCTCTTCTTCTCCTTTCAAAATTAGGTGGTATCTTACTAGAAGAAAACAAACAGTCTTTTTGTGTCCTTATTGTTTGCAGTGATCACATCTTACATTTAGATCATAGCTATAAAATTAATAAGGCTTTTCTGCCTATTTACAGGATTGGAACTAGATCTAATTGAAACTAATGCATTCATATATGTTTGACCTCAAGATTTATGCGATTGAGATATGAATCTTTGACTCTCACGTTCTAGTAACATAGAGTAAGATTTGTTTAACGATGGCAAAGGAATCATCATAAGAATCTGACCTCTTGCTTGTTCATATGTCTCATTAAGTCCCATAAGAAATTGTAGTAATTTGTGATTTTGTACAAACAGAATGAAATCCTTTGATTTCTCACAATTACAAGAAGGTACTGGAGTAATACTATCAAACTCTACCAAAAGATTTCCCAATCGAGCAAAATAGACTGAAATTGAACTTGTACCTTGAGAGATCGATGCAATTTCTTTATGAAGCAAGATGACTCTTGAACCATCAACTTTGTCATATCTTTCCTTGAGATCTCTCCAAACTGCAGCTGTATTCGTTGAATATACAATTCCTCCAAGAAGTTCTTTGGATACACAGTTCATAATCCAAGATAGAACTATTGCATTACAACGTTCCCACAATGTTGTTAGATTAGGGCCAAAACCTTCCTTTAAGCAAGTTCCATCTATGAATCCAAGCTTATTTCTACTTAAAATTGCATTCTCATTGCATGACTCCAAACTGAAAAATTCTCTGCCGCTGTAAGCTGTATTGAAATCAACATTGCACCAGAATTATCAATGGTTCTAAGAAACGGAGGATGATTATGACCTAACTTCTCTGGTAATTCATTATCGATTGTTTCCATGGCTAATTCACTTGATCAATTTGGTATTAACATTGATGCTATGATACCATGTTACAATTTGACATTAACAAGCACCCATCTATAAGAATAAGAGAGAAAGAAGATGAAATTTACGAAGAAGAAAAAAATATTTCATTTTTCTCATTGTGTTGATGTACATGTGTATATATACACCTAATATTCTAACTAACTTTTTTAACTAACATTCTTCTATACCTAACAAACTAACTCCTCTAAGTTTTCTATATTACAACTTAGTCCCTAATATCTGTTAAGTAATATCTTCTTTAATAAGTTCGCTAGTCTTATGCATTCTCAAAACCATATCACACGGAGCTGTAGGGGTTCCTAAGAAAATTGTGTAATGTTAGCAAATTCACAAAATTGAGGTGGTTGATGATGAAAGTGATGCCATTTGGAAAGTGATATATGACACAAGCACATGTGGAAAGCTAAATAATGAAGGTATTCCAAAAGGACGTGGAGACTATATTATGAATTCAGTCTCTTACTCTTAGGCGTGAATAAATCCTTCTGACATCTGGAGAAGTTGATAAAGATTTTTTTAGATGTATGTATAAGATACATAATATGCAAATGTGATCAAATGAAAGCAACACACTTCCTCTAAGTTTCCGGTGATAAATTAAAGACAATATTTATAAATCGAGAACAGACAACACATGTTTTCTCCTACTCTATTTTTTAATAATATTGATGAATACATATTTTTTGATATTTTTTTCAATATCATGGAGTACGCCACGCACCTCAACTAATTCCACAGGATACCAATAGAAATTCATTCCTACAAGTTCCCTCAACGGACCAAATTCTACTTAGCGTTAATAGTTTTGGCACGATAGACTCATGAGATGTGACCTCAGGGTGAAAATGGCTCATGACCATGTATTCAATTAATTTCCTTGGAAATGATGGTCAGAATTTGCTGCGAGAATTCGATTCAATCAATTTACAGAAATCAAGAAACTCTAAATCAAACAAACACCACACCAAATTTGCTAAACCTCTACCATCTAATTAAAAGAAAAAAAAACTTTCATTGACAAAATTTAAGAAAAGATGTAATCTTTACCTGTAAAACAACATAAAAAAACAATTGTTACCAAGGTTATACAATCCAGGTACTGTCAAATAATTTTTTTTGAACTACTTTTTCATGATACTAGTAACTCAATGGGAATTAAATCCTCACTACTATTATTGAATTTGTGCAACTCATGTGGTTTGCCAAAATTACTCATATATAGTATGTGTCCCTATGAAAAAAACGCAAAAAATTAGCATAAGCAACAATAATTAATCACCAGGAAAGTATATATATAAACTCTTATCTAATGACTTACATCAATTTAAAGTTGAACATAACCATATTTGATTGGACAACTACATGTAAGTAGAGAAAAGTCGGGAATAAATACAAAATGTAAGTTAAAGTAGAAACACGATAACTTGAACATTAACCAGCTGAAAAAATGTAAGAAATTCCACAAAATCTGGAAAGGAGAGATAGAACTCGAGTGAAATAAATGTAGTTCAATGACATATTCACCCCTAATTGTAAGACTGGATAAAGTGACTTCTAATTCTTCTTGCGGCCACGCTGTCTACTAATGACCATTAGCAACGCGGATGGAAATATACAAAAAAGATATTTCACCTATCACTCATGTGTAGCCAATAATAAACTCATTGTAGGATGACCATAATGTGAAGTTGCCTGCATTTCTACCTTACTTTTTCTCTGATTGTCTTCTTTTATCCTTCATTTTTTTTAAAATATATTAAAAATAAATTATATATGCAATAAATATGTATTATAAATGTTTTTAAAAATACATTATGCTTGTTTGGTAAGAAATTGATATGTTGTATTTAATTATCAATAAATTTTGTATTATATGTGAATAATAAATTGTTCTTTGTAATATGTATTTAAATTTTGTTATAAATGTATGAAAAGCAATCAAGTGAATTTTTTTTATTGCTATAAATGGTATTCCCCTTCTTTTTTCTTCCGGTAACAATACAATTTAAATAGTTTTGCTACATTTAAAAAAATGAGTTTGTACTAATATTTGTAGAGCTAAAGAAGAATAAATGAAAATAAACAATGTAATTTACTTGATGAAGGGGCTAATAGCCTAGTACCAATTAGTCATTGCAAATGAAGTGGGCTCAATGCATAGTACAACTTGCATTGAATTATGTACAATTAGTTATCTCTTGT